GTGCATGTGCCCTCCTGGCCAAGGCAGGATGGCGTATGCACCGATCCTGGCCTCAGGGTGTGCATAGTTCTCTTTCCTCTATGGCAGGGGGGCGCGCCGCGCCCCACGCCTTTGCCTCGTCGCTTCCTGGCAAGAGTGAGGCGGCTCTGCATGGGGGCGCGCCGCGCAATCCCCCCGCCTGTTTCGTCGCGCCGTTCCCCAGCAGGAGTGGGTTCGCTTTTCAGAAGGGGCGCGCCGAGTCCCCCGTTTTGCTTCGCCGCTTCCGGCCGCATTGTAGGGAGGGGGGCGCGCCGCCCCCCCCCCCCACCCCCGCCCGCCTGCGCCGTCGCCCCAGCAGGGGTGGGCTCGCATTGCAAGGGAACGCGCCGCGCACCCTCTTTGCCTCGTCGCTTCCTGGCAGGACTCGGGCCGCATTGTACGGGGAGTTGTCCGCGCCCCCTCCCTCCTGCCTGTTCTGTCGCGCCGCGCCTTCCCCTCCTTTGCGTCGCCGTTTCTTTGCAGGAGTTGGGCCGCGTTGCAGGGGGGGGGCGCCTTTCCTACCCCGCCTGCTTCGTCGCGCCCTAGCAGGAATGAGTGCGCATTGCCCTGGGGCGTGGCGCGCGCTGGTTTCTATGTCGCGCCGCTTCCTGACAGGTGAAAGGGCGCGCCGCGCCTTCCCTCCGCTTGCTTCTTCGCGCCCCAGCAGGAATGGGTTTGCATTGCAGGGCGATGCGCCGCGTCCCCCCCTTTGCACCGCCGCCTCCTAGGGGAGCAGGGCAGCTTGCATGGGGGCGCGCCGCGCCCCCTCCCCTTTGCTTCGCCGCTTCTGGGTAGAAGTAGGGTGGCGTTGCGTGGGGGGCCCGCCGCGCTGCCCCCCGCCTGCTTCGTTGCAGCCCAGGCGAAAAGGGCTCGCATTGCAGGGGGGCGCGCCGCGTTGCTTCGCCGCATCCTGGCAGGGCGCCGCGCCGCGCCCCGTTCATCCCTTCCCCCGCCTTTTTTCCATGTGCGCCCGAGCTGGCGCGGCCTCGAGGAAGGGGCTATCATGGCAGAGGGGGCGCGCCGAGCCCTCCACCCCCTTGCCTCGCCGTTTCCTAGCACGAGTGGGGTAACATTTCAGGGTGGCGCGCCGCGCCGCCCATTTGTTTCGTTATGCCCGAGCAGGCGCAGGGCCGAATTGGAGCAATAATCGTGCTGGCTCCGAGCCCGGAGCGGTCATTTAGCGGGGATCGATCTGTTTGTTCGTTGGGTAGCAGTGTTACAGGTGTATGTTTTCGAATGTGAGGAATTCGCCACGCTGCGCGCGCGCCGCGGCGCGCGAACGCGCGCGCGGGAGGTGTTGCATTGCCCACGAGTAAAGTTTTGCCGCGCTGGCGTGGCAGCTGCAGTGATTATAGGGTATTGTGCATGTTTCTATCGCGCGTATGGCAGACGTATCCATGCGCGCGCGTGGGGCGAATCTACAGTTATAACGTCGCAGGATCGAATAATCGCCACGCTAGCTTTCGAATAGAAGTGCGCTTTTAGCGGTGTCCCATTGAGTTTCCAAGTTCACATTGGAGCCCGTGCGTGTTTCTTATGATGGCAGTACAGGTCCCTCCAGACGCGCACATGGATAATTCTAAGTCGAAGTGTCGGCTCGGCAGCTGAAGTGAGCCCCTGGCGGTGACGGGCTGCTTTGTTCCAAGTGAACATGGGCTCTGGTGTTCGTGCGCGTGGGTGGGTGGGTGGGCGGGAAAGGGGTCCGTAGTGGTCGCTTTGGAAACGTTGTTGTGCGGCCTGCTACCCCGTATGGTGCCTTAGCGGTCACCGATTGGAGCTCCACGTGGGCACCTGTCCTTGCATGTTAACCAAGAGGCGTCGCACGACGCGCGTGCGGGTTTAGAGTTCCGTATCGTAGCGGCTACACCAGAAAAATCGCCATGCTTGTTTTTGGAAAATTGTATCTTTTTCTGGGCGGTCACAAATTTGGTTCCCGGGTGAACATGCGGCTTCGCGTTTGGAAGCGAGCCGCTGGCAGCCTCGCAAGGCGACTGCAGAATGCCCCTGGGGAACACAGCCGACCAACACAACTTATAGATTTTCGCGTTCCTCGCGACACATCTGCGAGGCGCCAATATAGGATTTTGTGGACGAGGTTCAAGTATCATTAAGCGTAGCGTGATGTATCACTTCGCTGATGTGGCGCCACAGCCGTGCGCTGCAGCACGCGCTATTGTACAACATCGCTGTGGCATGCCGTAGATTGGACAGGGTGGAAATCTTGGGGTCGTTTTGGCGCTGTCTTGTGCTGTCTTGGGTCTTCGGCCCGCTTGGCTGTGGCCTGGGTGGACTTGGCCCCCTCTCGAAGGTCAGACGAGATGTTCGGCCGCTATTTGGGCCTTCTTGTTTATCGGCGACGCATGGCCAAACAGGATTGTATTGGGACCCTCCTGAGCCGTTTTGGGGGGGGCCTCTTGGGGTTGTTATCGGCCGCCTTGCAACCGTTTGGGGCCCTCGCTGGGCTCCTCGGGCCTCCCTCCCACGCCCCCAGGCGCATTGGTTTGAGCCATCCTGAGTCGACGGGCTGAGGAATTCCACATAAAAACACAGAGTTGCCGCAACATTCTTATTGATCGTGGCCTTCCTGGACGCCCCCCCCGGTCTTCTCCCCAGTGTTTCGGTAGCTTCTCGGGCCTCCCTCTGGCGATTCCTGGGGTCTTTTTGGGGCCAGTCGGGGTGCCTCTTGAGGCAGTTGTGGGCCCTCTTGGCGGCTCTGGTAGTTTTCCTTGGCAATATTGGGCAGTGTGGGTATAAGGTTCCATCATCATCGTCGTCGTCACCATCATAGAGTTGGGTTTGGGCCCTCTTGGAGCCCTTTGGGGGCCCTTTTGGAGCCCTCTTGGAACCCTCTTGGGGCCCCCTTCGAGCCCTCTGGGGGCTCCCAGAAAGTTTCGAGGGACATCCGGGGGGGTGGAGGGGGAGGTGGAGGGGGGGTGGAGGGGGGGGAGGGGGAGGTGGAGGGGGTGGTGGAGGGGGGTGGTGGAGGGGTGGGTGGAAGGGAGTGGAGGGGTGGGTGGGGGGGTTGGGACGAACCCCAGGGGAGGGGCGAAAAGGGCGGGGGGGAGGAGGGGGGAGGGAGCAGGTGGCCACAGGGCCAAATGGAGCAGGGGAGCGGCGGGCCACGACGAGGCAGGGCGGGAAAATCCTGCCCCCCTGGTAGTTGCGCAGGGGGGGAGAGCGTGCCCCTTTGCTTCCTTCCATTCTTCCTTCCGGCCTTGCCTCCCTCCCTCTCTCCTCCTCGCCCCCCCCTTCTGTCGATGGTCCGCCCTGCCCCTCCTACTCCTGCCCCCATCCCTCCACGACCCTTCGACACGCCCGACCTGTGTACCTAGGCGGCGTTCCCTACGGCAGTCCTGGTGGGCCGACGTACTGCGTCCGGGTAAACAGGTACAGCCTGTACCTGTAGAAGCAATTTGGCTTCTACAGGTACTGGCTGTACCTGTAGAAGCAGTTTGGGGTAAACAGGTAGAGGCTGTACCTGTAGAAGCCGTTGTCCCTTCAGGTACTCCCTCGGGGTAAACAGGTACAGGCTGCACATGTTTACCCCGCTCGTTTGGTGTGTGTTTTTTTTCGAAGGGAAGGGGGGTAAACAGGTGCAGGCCGTACCTGTAGAAGCAGCTTGGTTTCTACAGGTATTGGCTGTACCTGTAGAAGCAATTTGGGGTAAACAGGTTCTTGCTCTACCTGTAGATTTGGCTTGCCTCCCCCCCCCGTGCAGTGGTCGACCTGTAGAGGTTGACGGGTGTACCTGGCCCCCCTTGGTGGTCCATGTGGGTATGGCGAGCACGGGTTGGGGGGGCAGTCCAGGAGTTTCTGTGGGGTACCGAGCTGACCTTTGGCGCCCCCGTGCCCTGCTGCGCACGATTTGGGGGGGGGGTCCGAGCACCAAAATACGGGGATTGCTGACTCCTCCTGCGGGCCTCTGGGGGCCGCCCGAAGTGCGGCTCGACTGGATCTCCTTTGCAGGCAATTCAAGTCGATCGAAACAACCGACGAGAAGGGTGGGAGGGGGGAGGAGGAGGAGGAGGAGGAGGAGGAGGAGGAGGGAGGGGGGGGGGAGGAGGAGGAGGAGGAGGAGGAGAGAGGAGGGAGGAGGAGGCGGAGGAAGAAAATGGAGGTCCCCTGGAAGTTACTAGAGGAGATTTAGTAAGAGAGGGAATGAGTTAGGAGGGAGGGGCAGGAGAAATGCGAAGAGGAGGACGGGGGAGGGGAGAGCGTAGATCTCCCGTCAGCTTCGTCTCGGGCATTCTCGGAAGCACTAGTAGAAGGAAATCTTCGAGGGGGGACAAGATGTGCTCGCGGGCGTCTCAGAATTCTGATATTTTGAGGGGGAAGCGCACGGAAGAGGCGCAAAGCGTATGCAATGCTACCGGTTCTCACATGATGACAACAACGATGAATTTGGGCAACAAAATCTCTAGTGCCTGGGGTTTCCGTTGGAGAGGTGGCGGGTTCCCCCCACGATTGCGGTACGTGTTTTCGGCCATGGCTCATTGGTGAGCCCCCCCATCGATAACCTCGCCCTCCGAAGAAAGGCCGTTGTACGCAATGCTCCGAGCTCCGTCGGGGTACTCCTGTGGTCGATGGGTCAGGCGCCTGGCCGGGCGCTCGGGCCTGGGTCGCAGTCGTGGCCGATACGTGCTCGCCGCCCCTTATCCCCTTCTTCCCCAGCCGCCTCGCCCCCCTTACATTCCCTTACATCCTCTCCCACTTCCTCCTCCACTTCCTTTTCTTTTTCTCCCTTCCACACCTTCCGTTGCCATTTTGGCTCAGCCCTTTACGGTTTATGGCCGATGCCCGGATTCATCGGGCTACATTGCAAAACAATATTGCACGGCCGGCGCAAGTCGACGCATGAGTCGTGCTCGGTCAAGCCGTCACCGATAGACCGTGCGACACGCCCTGTTCGGACGGTCGGTTTGGGGCGCCAAGCGGGCAGAAATTGCGTTTGCATGGCCGCAACCTGAGGGCGCCCTGATTGCATGCGGCGGAGAAGTATCACAGCGTCGCCGAACGTGCAAGCGCAACACGGCGCGATTCCAGACGGCGCGGTGCCCGAGACGCGCAGGTCGTTCGGACGTCCACGCGAACCAGCAAAGAAGGTAAGTCACGCTGCCCAGCTTTCTTGCCCGCCCCACTTCAGGGGCTTCTGCAGTCGCTGCCCCCTGTTTGCTTCCAACTTCGCGTGTTAATCATGCGGCACAGCGCGATGCGCGCGCGGGGGGGGGGGGGGGGCGACAACTATTGCGCTCACATGGGAAAATTGCCACGGTGGCCTGGAATTCGAAGTGCCGATTGGAATTTCCAAGTTGGCACGCGTTGTCACATATCAGCCGGGTGGTGCAGCGCAGAAAGCGCGTTGGTGGAGAGGTCTGTAGTGCTCACAATTTTTTACAAGCATGGTTGATTGTAAGCTAGACATGGCTTCTTGGGCGGTCAGCAACCGGAGCTCTTCATGTCAAGTCTGCTGTGCGCAGTAAGCCGCGTGCACTCGCGGGTGGCGAGTTATGTCGTGTTCGCAATCCGAAGTGTGGCCACGTTGGCCCGGACACGACGGTGGTCTTTCAACGGTGGTCGATACGTGGTCCGAGTGAGCGCCAGTTTTTCATGTGGGCCAAGCGGTGCAGCGCGCGACGTGCGCGGGCGGGTTCTTGCGCGCACGCACCGCAGAAGTCGCCGCGCGTGCGCGAAGAGGGAGAGGGGAGGGACGGCAGAGGGCGGGAGGCGGGAGAGATTTACGGGGCGAAGGAGCAACGAGGGCGGTGGCCACGTCGTCGTCGTTCGAGGGAGGAAAAACCAACCGGACCCGAATATTGGCGTCTGCTAAACGGCCCTGGGCGTTTGGTAAACAGCCCTGCCTTGTTTGATTCCTTCTTCGGGTGCGTTTACTAAACGGCTTCGAGTGTCGTCGAGGTGGTTATTAATCGGGGTGGATTGTCTGCCCTCTAGGCGTCGGCGTCGGCGTCGGCGTCGTCCTCGGCGTCGGCGTAGACGTAGGCGTGGGCGTGGGCGTCGGCGTCGTCGTCGTCGTCGTCGGCACCCCGATCGGCCACACGGACGACCGCGACGACGACGACGACGACGACGACGACGACGACGAGGGCACCGCCGCCGCGGGTTTTGCCCGAAACATGTCCTTGATCGTCCCCCCCCCCCCCGCGCCGCCACCTTCGCGGCACCCAAGGCACCATCGGAGGCAGTGTGGGTGGAGGCAGGGGAAGGCGGGATTGCTGACATTCGGCCAACGGAAATAACCATGCTAACTCGTCAGCCCGCGACGCCCCCCCCCGACCAGGGGCGTCTGGGAGAGTCTTTGGAGGGTTGGGGGTCGCTAGCGGAGGCTGCTGACCAGTCCGAACCGTCACCCATTTTGCTCCAAGTTTTCAGCCTCCGAGCGTCCCCTGGACTCCCAGACTGCCAGGGGGCCAACCTGAATTGTCCGCCCTCCGTTGACCGAGCTCCTTGGCTCGCTATTACAGGGGCCACAGGACAGGCGATTTTTCAGCCGTCGACCCTGAATTATTTTTGTAATCGTTTACCACGATTGCACGCGCGGCCTGCGGCAGGTAAACCCAACGGCAAGGATACACTTGGTGCAGGGGTTGCACTCAGTGATGTGGGCTGCTCATGTTGCAGATCGGGCAGCCTGAAGACATTGGGTTGTGGCACATTATGCCCGAAGCGGGGATTCATCCATAACCACCGCCTTGGGGATCGTTATTCGGGGACCTCGGCAGGTGGTGCGGATGCGTTTGCCCCCCACAAGGCGCGAAAAGACCAGAAGATATCCAGATCCATCGCTTGCCGAGATCCCTGGTGATCGATCTCCAAAGCCGCCGTTATGGACAGGCATGGCCGTAGTGTGAGCGTGGGAGGGGGTGTTGACCCGCGTTTGCACGATTCAGGATGTTCGGGCAGCACGTATCGGCCAAGTTTCGCTGGCCGTTGTGCCTGCGCTGCCTCCAGGAGTTAGCGGTAATGTTCGTACGGCATACTTGGTGTTGCAGTGGAAGGGTACATGCGTAGAATGTTGACAACATGGTTTCACTGTGTATCACGTAGTATGATCATGCCGCGAATGCATGTGATTACTGTATTGCTTATTCTTGAGTTTTCGTTGTTTTCGATGCAGCGTTATCCCTGCGCTCTCTTCTCACCGCTCTCCATCACTCCGGA